ACCCCTCCACCCGTCCACCCACCCACCCATCCATCCATCCATCCATCCATCCATCCATCCATCCATCCATCCATCCATCCACCCACCCACCCATCCATCCCTCCCACACATTTCTCTCTTTGCCCATCCTCTTTCCCACTCTGCCTATCTATTCTTCCATCTGTACTGATGATATTTCTATGCTTTTCTCTCCCTTTCTGCTGCCATTTATTGCCACAGTTCTTCTACCCTCATCACCCACCTCGCGGGTGCCCCTCAGCTCTCCCAGAATCCACCAGAACTTTCATTTCCGTCTGTGTCTTTGTAGAGATGAACTCCAAGATGATCGACTTTGAGACCTTCCTGCCCATGCTCCAGCACATTGCCAAGACAAAAGACACAGGCACCTACGAGGACTTCGTGGAGGGTCTGCGTGTCTTCGACAAGGAGGGAAATGGGACAGTGATGGGGGCTGAACTCCGTCATGTTTTGGCTACACTGGGTAAAGTGAACCTTTCCTCACGTGGTTTCATCACTGAGGTCTTTCCATACAGCTTGTATCCTTAGATACAAGCTTCTGTCATTTAGACTGGGTATTGGAAAGAATTTCTTTCCCAGAAGAGTGGTCGGACAGTGGAACAGGCTGCCCAGGGAGGTGGTGGAGTCACCATCCCTGGAGGTGTTTAAAAGAAATGTAGATATAGTGCTGAGTGACATGATTTAAACACTGAATGAGTAGATTAAGGTATGCTAGGGGGGTTTAGGTTATGGTTGCACTTGATGATCTTCCAGGTCCCTTCCAAGCAGGATGATTCTATGATTATGGGTAACCTTCATGGACAGAATTATTGGACAAGACTTCAGCCATCAGATTGTCCTCATTTATAAAGACTAAAAAAATTCTCTAATAATGAAGCTAAAAATCCTTCCTTCCTTTCCTCCCCTCCTCTAGTGGTTTATTTCTCCAATAAACATTGTATTTCTAGCACTATAAAATTATCCAAACAGTGGAAACCCCATCTATCCCTTCAATATTTGAGCCCATTTTTCTGCACCTTCAAGAAAAGTTTGAAGATGAAACACTTTTGTATCAGCCATCTGTTTAACAAAAATATCTCTGAAATGGAAAGCCCTGTTTTTAAAGGAAGGATCAATATTTCTCCATCCTCTCAAATGCTGAGTTCAGAAGCCCAGTTTTTCACACAGTGATGACAACAGAATGAGTACAGGATAGAAAAATTGGGTCTAACTTAATGACAGGTTTCCAATTTGGATTAGAAGGCACTGGCATGTTAGTAAGCATTTTTGCCCACTGTTTTAAAAAAACCCCATGAGCTTTTACACAGGAGATTTAATTTAGCCCAAAGGTTTCCAATGATGGTTTTGACATGAGATATCTATTAAAAAAAAACCCAAACCTTTTATGCCCAGGGGTTGTGATGCCATGACACATCCATCTATATTAGTGACAGAGGGAATAAGAAAAGAAAGAAATCATTTTTATCACTGATGTTATTGAATCAGTTTGAGGGCTAAATCTGCCATAACAAACAAACCTAAACCCACAGGGTGAGGACTGTTGCCCTATCTAACCTTACCAGGGACAAATAAGCTACTGTGGGCAGTTTTGTGAGTTTCCCAGTATTAAAAGAAGGAATTTAGTACTTACCTTTCTCTTTCCAGTGACCCAGAACCATGTGGCAACCTTGGATTTTCAAGCACTGATAGGAAGCATTTAAATCTGAAGAATTACTAGTTCTGTTCAGAGTGACATCTCTAAATACTGGTCAAACCCTAGGCACAAGTAGTCTTAGCTACTAAGTAAATTAGCATGATTTACTAAGTAAATTAACATGACTAATTAAACTAATTATGTTAATTAAAAAACCCAACACATCAGTTGAATTTTCCCAGGTTCACCTCAGCTGAAGACTCATTCCTGTGTGCCAGAACTCAGTGATGGGAAAGTGGAACAACATGAATACCAGAGCAAATCCAGTGCATTTCATCTTATTTTCATGTCTATGATTTCAGGTGGCCAAGAAGGCCACCAGCATCCTGGCTGGTGTCAGCACTGGGGTGGCCAGCAGGAGCAGGGCAGGGATCACCCCCCTGTGCTGGGCACTGGGGAGGGGGCACCTGGAATGCTGGGCTCAGGTCTGGGCCCCTCAGGACAAGGAGGACATGGAGGGGCTGGAGCGTGTCCAGAGAAGGGCAAGGGAGCTGGGGAAGGGGCTGGAGCACAAGTGTGAGCAGGAGCAGCTGAGGGAGCTGGGGGTGTCCAGCCTGGAGCAAAGGAGGCTGAGGGGAAACCTGCTGGCTCTGCAGCTGCCTGAGAAGAGGTTGGAGCCAGGGGGGTCAGGCTCTGCTCCCCATCCTAAAATCAGTGCCTAATTTCAAATAAGGAGACTGGTTGTGCTGATCTCTGCTTCAACAGCATGAAGCCTTACAGACAAATAGGAATTTAATATTTAGTTAATTCAATTAAATCAAATGGATCACTGAGATCCAGTGATCAGAGCTTGTAAGTTTGTAAGAGCTTAAATCAGAGCTTGTAAGTTTGATCTTGGAATCTTCCTGAACTGCAAATTCAGGGGCAATCTGGATGGTGAACCTACTAAGAGTTTACTTGGTTAGGACTCAGCTAAAGAGTGACTAAAGCCTTTAAGATTTGGCACTTAGAGGAAGTTTATTCTTAGAAGAATGAGTATGTGAATATAAGATCATGTGGGTTTCCATATTTATTGTGTCTTCCTGGTTTTCACATCAAATTTAATCTTTTTGCAAGTTCAAAGGTAGCTTTCCTAGCAGTCAGCACCACAAATCAAACCGAAGAGAAAATCTCCCTCTCTTCTCTTTCTGTCTCTTTTTAGTCTTAGAATCTTTGATCTGCACATTATAAAGTGCTAGAAAAGGGCTCAGGTACTAATCAGGTATTTTTCTTTCTGCCCAGGTGAGAGGTTGACTGAAGAGGAAGTTGATAAGCTAATGGCTGGCCAGGAAGATGCCAATGGCTGTATCAACTATGAAGGTAGATATGAACACTTGTCTGAACAATGGGCATGTGCTTGGAGCCTTTGTTGCAATCACCCTCAGAAAATTTAAACCTGTGGGAGATCTGATCCCAAAGACTAGGATTTGTGCTTTTCCAAACTTTAAATCAATTCACATTCTGTCATTCACCTGATATACCCTGTCCCTGGAAGCTGCCTTGTATTTCCATAGCTGTAAGGCTGTGACATTTTCAGGAGGTGGGGCTGAATATTCTTGGGATTTTTGACTTTTAAAACACATGAATTATTATTTTTTTTCTACCTGTTCCCACTGTTCCTTGTCCTCTCAAAAAAACCCCACACATCCCTTTTCAGACCCCTGCACAGAAAACCACTAAGTTTTATTTCAAAACCACAGGAAATAAAATTAAATAAATAATGTCATCCTTGACATCATCTTTGGGGTCCTTAAAATCCTACAAGACCTCACAAAGACCTTCCATTTGATTTCAGTGCTGAAGAAAAGGACTTGGTCATGACTACATGGACCATAGTTCTCTCCTGCCTCTTGCAAACCTACATGCTTCAGGCATGAGCAAGGTCTTCCTCCACACCTGAGTCCTTAAGGAAAACTGGTGACTGACCATTGCATCATCTTGCTGCTTTAGCTGGTCTGTCATAGTCACTGAGCCTTTTAGGAATATTTGAGTCTCGTTCTATTTACAAATTCCAGTGATCTGAGCTCAGGGAAACACTTCTTACAAGAAGTTTATTGGTTGAAGTCTGTAGATTTTAGCCAACCCAGAAGGCTCATCAACTTATGCTGAATTCAGAGAAATTGAAGGCATGGGAGGATTATTGGTGAGGAGAACACAGTTCCTTACTGCAAAATTTAGCTTTGCTTTTCCTTTTGAATTTCAAATAATATCTAATGAATATTCTTTAAATGGAAAAAAAAAAATGGAGCCTAAAACTGTTTGAAATAAAAGCTTAATTTTTACTTTAAAATTCCTTATTTGTTTGTAAACCAGAGTTCACTGGAGAGATACAGTCACATCAACTGACTCAGTGGCCTTCTGTGGATCCTGGAGGCACCTTCAGAGGCACCTTCAGAGTCTCCTGGTTTAGGAAAAATGTGCTGAAGTCTTGAAAGCCTTACAAACCCAGAGTTTCTTGTGGTTGTGTATTTGGAAATCCAGTTCCATGTGGCAGCCAGGGGTAAAAGACTAAGCAAGTTATGGATGGACTGATGTGTGTGTCCATTTCAAGTGGCTACCTACTCGTGTGGCTACACCCCACTAGATATGTATTATTTAAATGACTTGTTTCCTCCTGGAATCTGGAATCTTATTTACAAAGTGCTGTTGTCTTTGCATCAGAGGAAGCAACAAGAGTGAATTTAAACAGCTACCAAGCTGAGCTACCCAGGACATCACTGAGTTCAGCGAAAGTGAATTGAATTGAATTATTTTTGTTTTCTTTTCAGCTTTTGTGAAACATATCATGGCCAACTGAACACCAGGTGAGTCTCTTCTGTCTTTCTTGCATATCCTATTATTTTGGTTTCAGCCTCTGAGATAAGCCTGAAGAGTGTGTAAGTGGCTAATCAAAGAGTGATTATGTACAAGGAAGCAGGACAAGAATGAATAAAATGTTATCATCATCTCATCAAAGACACAGAAAATCGATGATTTTCCTGCCATTGTCTGGTAAATCTGGACATCTTTATTTTAAAAGTCCAACATAACATCTCCTGAAGGGGGATTTGATTTCCAAAGACTTAATTGTTCCTTTATGATTGACTGGAAACTTAAAAGGATGCACATTTTTCCTGTCCACTTAGGAGTTACTTCTCCTAGACTTGTCCCCAAAAAAGACATGGACATAGAACTGAGCTGACTAGAGCAAGAGTGGTCAAAAAAAAGACAAGGAAATGTTGACACAAAAGAATAACATATTGTTATGTCCCTGAACTTACACTTGGAAGATAATTGTTTGCCTTCCTTAAATCTGGCTCTCAAGATCTTCTGGCAAATGGGATGGTTTTCCAGAAAAAGACATGGACTTTGTCCAGCACATCTCCTGGCTTTATTCAGCAGTGTTCTCCAAACCACAGCACCATTAGGGTATCTCTGTCTCACCATTGCAACTGAGCTGAACTTCATTTCCAGTATTTCCTGGTCATCATTCATTTTTGTATTCCTGGAAAAGATGCCCACTGTTTTCAACTGGCATTCATCTTTATTTATCTCTGTTCAGCACTTGGGGAAGGTCTGACCTGAAGGTTAACCAGCTCCATCTCTTCTGCAAAGTATCTGGTAGACTGGGAAAAGCAGTGGCTTCCTTCAGATTGTTGGTTGGTTTGGATTTTGGTTGGTTGGAGTTTTTTGGTTGGTTGGTTTTTGTTGTGGGTTGTTGTTTTGTTTTTTTCTTTCTTATACTTTGCTTTATTTTTCTACTCTCTCCTGACCAAGCCTGGCTTTGTTTTGCTTTTGGAGCTGACTTTATCCCAGCCCACTGAGACTGCTGTGTTGATTATGTTCACTGGCACCCCAGGGACAGAATTGAGTAGGAGTCACATCCAGGTCTTTGGGACTTTTGTTCCAAAACATAACTGAACAAAATGTAAATTGGTTAAAAAAAAAGATATATTTTATTATTATTATGGTCTAGTTTTCTTTCTTAAGCATATTTATCTTCTCTGAACATGCATTTTTCAAAACTGGGTCCCAGTTTTTGATTCCAAAGATCTGGACTGGCCCACAGCCATGATAGGTAATCCCACTGCTAGCATGATCTTTACTTGTTATTTAGAGGTGCTTTCAGTCCTTAATCCCATCCTAATTACAGGGCCATGGGAAATTCCAATTCCTTTGTAGTCAGGAACCTATGTCAGCCACCAAACAAGACAAGAGAAAGTGAGCACTGGAAGGCTGTAAAGCTGGCACAAGGCTGGGAGCTGCAGCACAGGGGTCATCAGGAGTGTCTGTGCTTAGGATGGGTTTGGAAAGGTTTGGAAAGGATTTGCCAATGAGCCATGAGAGATGTCATTCAGGGGTGGCATCTTCCACCATGTGCTGT